TCGCGAGTTTTTATGCAGTGGGATTTGGTGAAAATCAGAAAACAGATCTAAAGTCGAGAAGTATTTTGCTCGTCCAAGGTTATCTAAGATATCGTCTACACGCGCTGGTGGAAATTTGTCAGCGATAAGCTTTTTGTTAACTGCCCTAAATTCAACACACAAGCGATACGATTTTTGGCCTGCTGGGTATTTTTTTGGTACTAAAATTAATGGACTATTATAATTTGAAGAGCTTGGTTCGATTAAGTCGTTTCGCAACAGGGTATCGACTTGCTTATTTATTTCTTCGCGTTGTGAGTACGGCAAACGATAATTTTTTATATAAACGTGAGTCTTGTCATTCAGTCGAAGTTTCTGTTCATAAAAGTTATAGAGTGTCATAAGGTCTGTTTTTAAGGCAAATACATCGGCGTATTGTAAGCATAATTCGAGCAATTTGTTTTTAGCATATTTTAGCATTTGTTTTTGTAAAATTGACTTTAGTTCCTCTAAACGTTTTGTGTCCTTGGAAGTTTCGTTTGATTTGTAGACATTATAGTTACTGATATCCTCAGCTTTGATGTTATAGTTTCGAACGTATTTTACCTAGTCCGTCGTATTTATTACTTTTAAAATTGGATTTTTAGTGTCGACGACACATTTTGATGTAAAAACACCAGAACAAAGCTCGTGAGAATCTACAAAAACAGGGTTGTTGGAATGAGTCAATTTAAATAAACGAAAAACTTTACATCTTCGAGGAATCACTAAATTGGTATTAGAACCGTGCAAAATTGCTATTTTTGTGCTTTCTGTCCCAATGCCGATAGTTATACTGTCATTTGCGTAGTTAATAATACCTAGTATGCCGTCAGAAGGTATATTGAAACTGTCATCTACAACGTGAAGAGTATGCGGAACAAAAAAAATTTGATACAACCAAGTTTGTACTTACGGTTCCCAATGTTGTAACCGTTTCTGGTGTTACACCAGTGATGTTTATCGTATCACTACTGTTAATTGCGGAATTTCTTGCTTAACTGGAAATCTTGATTAAAGAGATGTCTGCTTGTGAATCTACGAGAAACGAGAATAATTTGTAAGAATCGGTAAAATTTAATTCAATAAGATCTGAATAATTAAGGTTTAAGCAGTAGATTGATTTTTCAGGGGTAACTACGTTTAATTGCTTAGCTCCTGCTCCCCCAATGTTCGCTCCTGAGGGGCATCGGCGTTTAAAAAGCGAACATTAGATGTGTTTCTCGAATTCGAACGAGAAGAGCTGTTTCTGTTGCTTGCCGAACGATTGCTAGTGCCATTTCTGTAGTTATTTTGTCTACTGTTAAAATTGTTGCTTCTATTGTAATTATTTTGACTATTGTGCCTTGTGTTATTGCCATTATTGTAAATATTTGTATTGCCGTTATTAAATCTGAAACTATTGTTCTGTTAGTCATAGTTGTTGTGCCCTCTAAACCTCCTCGAAAACTATTTGGTCTATTTGCCCGTGACCTAAAAGACAACACCTGCCGCTCTTTGACTTCATTATTGTGTTCTACAATCATCTTTGCGACTACATCTTTCGAATCCGTAAAAGTGGTTGATGCTAAAATAGATTTTACTAGTTCTGAACGACTGTTCAGCCTGCAAACGTTTACTGTCTGCTCTACCGCTAACTCGTGGGCTTTCGCTTTTGTCGTACCCTCAATAATTAAAGATCGCTCTAATGCATCAGATAATTCCTCTACTCGCTTCGCAAAATCGGCATAGTTGTTATTAGTAATATGTAATGACGCGATTTTGCCAGAGACATCTTTGGAATTATCTGGTTTGATTCTGCTGCGTAGCGCAACCTTTACTTGATCCACTGAAATTATTTGACTGGGTAAAACCTCACGCGCTTTGCCTTCGAGTTTTGACTTTAAAAATGCTATAAATGTTGTAGTTAAACTTTCATCCGACAATTCTTCTATTAAATTGATTTTGTCAATGAATCAGTTGAGCGATAGGGGGTCACCACTATAGTTTTCTCGGATTATAGATGCACACAAGCTAATGAAAGATTTCTTTTGCTCAGGTGTTGTCATTTTTATGTCGCTTGTGAATGCAATAAAATTAATATTTGGTGAACTAATCATTACGCATGGCGTTTTTTCAATTTGTAAAAAATCTTTAAATGAAGGCAAAGAACAACATTTTTTAACGGTGGAAACTTCTGGTGTGCCAGCTGAACAAGCGTCAGCTAAGTCGTCGTCGGAATCTACTTCAGAATTTAAAATATCTTCTTGTATTAGAACTGAATCTTCGGGTACTAAAACTTTACACCCAATTTTTTGAAAACACTGAAGTAATTTTTCTCTGCACCGCGATAAACTTTTAATTATAGAAGCTGGTTTGTTTCCTTGTTGTTCCGAACTTTTTACTTGAATTAAAATATCGTTGTAAGTTTCGATTAAAGATTTCTTATATTCGTCAACTTTTTCCCGATTTGTTGAAAGTGGACGGCTTTGAAGAACACGCTTGGTAACTTTTGAAAATTTTGCTTGTAAATCTTTGAATACAAGTTCGACATCTGACATCTGGCACACACGCAAAGCAAAAGATCTATAAAAACTATCCAACTATTGTATTATTGAAAAAAAATTATTTGAATAAAGTTGTAATATTTGAAGTTTGGCTACCACGGCATAGAAAACTGAGTAAAACGTTTATTGATATTATAATCGTTGAAATATTTTACCATATCTCAAACGAAATTCTAAAAGTTGTAGTATAAAAGTACGGCAATGGCACAGGCGAAAATTCGTATATAAATTTTATCGAATATTTGAAAAAAAAGAAAAATTTATGAAAATTCCAAAATCTGACTCTTGCCTAATGTTCCAAAGAATTGACGAAAAATTTTAGTGAAAACTTTAAATTGTTGAAGTTACGTTTAAAAAAAAATATTAATATTTGTACATCACTGTACCACTGAAGCTGAAATTCCAGAAGAAAAAGCAGTAATATATACATATGTGTATAGATAAAAATGTGTATTAATATTTGTATGTATGTAGGTATGATAAGTACAGTAGGTATTAAAAGTATGTTTGACAATCCAAAAGTTTGAATAGAGCAAAAATATTTAACAAGAATTTGAGTGAATATAATGAAAAATATATGAAATACATAATCACAGGAATTTTGTTACATATTGAATTTACGAAAAAGATATTGTGGTGTTTCGCACGTAGTGCATCATGCCCAAAAGAATCTGCTACTCGCTGTTGTTGTTGCTTGTTTTCTTCGCTGATTGTCACCCGCTGCAGTCTATACTAAAACGATGCGCTGTCTTGCGTCGCGCCAAGGCTTAGCGACGCTTCTTTATGGCGTGGTGCGTATGCCGTTATACAACGGTTGCATGGCGTGTTTAAGGGTACAGCTGTGGTTGGTAGAAGACGTGGTTTGTGTGCCGTTATATAACCGATGTACGACGCGTTTTTAAGTACACTAACTGTGGTATGTACAGCACTTTCGCGTTTTCATAGTTCTAATTTTAGGCTTTGAGTTCTAGTTTTTACCGCTGCCACCGGTCCACCAACTATCATATCATATTACCAATAATTTATTTAATTTTATTTTGTACAAATTTGGGACCACCGCTTTTTTTTTGATTTTTTTTTTCTTGTTTTAATTTCAACATTTCTGTTCTTAAGCCATTTTTTTTTTATAAAGTGTTTAAAATTTTGGGACCACCGCTTTTTTTTGGAATTTTTTTTTTATAACCGTTTACGGATTTTTCCTGTTTTTTATTCAGGTATTTTGATTTATTTCTTGTGTAATTTTCAAGTGTTTCATTTTTGAATGTTCTGCACCGCCACCACTTTATATTTTTAATAAACATTTTTTTTGTAATTTTCAGTTTAAAAATTTTTTTTTGTGTTTTAGTTTATTCCGCCAGCATAGTGTTTTTGTACTAGAATGATTTTAAAATCTATTTGGAGTTCATTTCCGTTTGTATTTAAAGTTTTTCCCACATAAGTATGCATGTACGTGTATGTACATATATGTATATGCGTGTTCAAGTTAAAAGTGTTTTGAAAGAAAATTTATTTTTTATTTTTTGTGTGGTTTTTGATCTTTTTTTTTTTAGTTTTTTGTAATAATTTTGTTTAATAGCTGCTACCACCACCGATACTTTAGTAAAAAAAATCTTTAATTCAATTCAATTCATTTCATTGTATACTTTCTTGGGCTTTGCGCTTTTGCTATGCCCGCGGACCGGCATTTCGCCAGGTTCTGTCACGGTCGCCATGTCGAAGTGGTATTTAATTCCACTTCTCGGTATTGAAGGAGGCGTACCTTTATGTTGCTGCCGGCGGGAGCCCTTCCGCTCTGCTTGTTTACTGCTGCTTGCCGCTGTCGTGTTGCGCCCCGCTTATGCTCTTGCACGAAGTTGTTGTACGCCTCTATTTGGGTGCTCCGGTGGTGCTCCTGTGGCTACCCAAGAATGTGGGCGAATTTCCGCCGCTATTAGTGGGACCTCCAATAATGTTTTAGAATAAACTCAACTTTTCGTTTTAATGGTACGCGGGCGAATGCCGCCAATTTATTTTTCACTCTCCTCTTAAACCTAGCTGCTATTGTACATAGAACAGGTTGTATTTTTAATATCGTAAATTCTTGTATTAGATTAGATTTAATTCGTGTTCATACAAGGTGATTTGTAGGGTTGCAAATTGTATGCTTTCATCGCATTACATTATTACTCACAGCTAAATAACTCTTTAGTTGGGATTAACTGGGATGACCTGTTGTCTTGTGAAAACATTTCGACGTATTGTTCTAATTTTAAATCTAAACTGCCGGAGATACGCTTCTTAAATATTCCTCTTAGGAAAAGTTTGTCATACAAAATAACTTGGCACACAAGAGCTGAAGAAGATTAAGAACTTAAGAAGCAAATTCTACATAAAATTCAAGCTTACTAGACGGACTTCTTTAAGTCTAACTTTGTTTATGACGACCTTGATTTTTTGCCAAATTTTTATTCGCATATTGATAGGAATCTCAATTTTGGTTCACTAACGCTATCTTCCGAAGATATTGCCAAGGGAATATTTGCACTTATGCCCTCTGTACAGACCGATGTAGATGGTTTCTCTACTTAGTTATTGAAAAACTGTCCAACAAGTCTCTAGCTTTAGGGAAGTTTATAGATGAACGGAAAATGGCCTCCATTACCCCAATTTTCAAGAGTGGTAAATAAATTACGTACGAAATTATAGGCCCACCTCAAAACTTTCGACTGTCTAAACTATTTGAGTGTTTTCTATGACAAACTATATTTCGTCGTTAATTCGCATATCTCTCCTATCCAACATGGATTTGTCTCCAATAGGTCCACATTTTCGAACTTATCCGTATTCACAGAATACTGCATTGCTTCTTTCTCTGGTAGTCACCAGGTCGACTGCATATATACGGACTTTCATAAGGTGTTTGACACTGTGTCACATAAAATTCTTATAAGTAAACTTTCCTGTCTAGGTTTTCGTTCATGTCTTTTAGATTTGATTAAATCGTATCTTTCTAACAGACGCTGTGTGGTCACAGTGGATAATGCATCTTCTGAGCCCTTTAGCGCTTCATAAGGTGTCCCCCAAGGTAGCGTTCTAGGTCCAACGCTTTTCGCCCTTTTCATTAATGACATAAGCGACTGTTTTTCTTACGCCAATTTTTTACTATATACGGATGATTAGAAGTTGTTCGCAATGATTAAAGCTCAGTGTGATGTTAATGTTATGGTGTACGAAGTCGGGATCCCTCAGCATATCGTCCTATATGCATGTTGGATACGACGGGCAAGCGATAGACTGCTAGAAGCAATCGAGGAAAAGGGAGGCCTCTCAGAGACACAGTTCGGCTTCAGAAAGAGGCGGTCAACAGTAGACGCAGCCAGTCTAGTAAAGCAGTTGGCGGAAGATGCAATCAGTGGCGAAAGGTGGAAGGGAGGAGCAAAGGAGTACTGCTTGCTTGTCGCCCTCGATGTAAAAAATGAGTTCAAAACAGCAAGTTGGAAACACATAAACGCT